CTCAAAACTGTCATGTGTGATTATATTACCTAGAAATCTTGGAAATGTACATTTTGATTTAGTCGATCTGGATGGGGCTGGATATTCTATTTTCTCATAGGCTCCCAGGCCCAGCCAGCCACATACTTTGTGAGGCTGACTACACAATGAAAATGCAGGGCTTTTTGCTCAAAAAGTGGGAAAAAGCACCTTCAAGGGTACTGAAATATAGAACATTCACCTCTCTTCTGTGGTATCTTTTAAGCCTATAAGTGGGCTTTCTATTTGCCAGTTGATGTCACACTGTCTGGGGTGTGGGATGGGAAGTGGTAGGGTGGGAGGGCTACTCAAGGTTGAACACAGACCTCCACAAGTGCGGAGTGGGCCGCCTGGAGTTTGTCATGTGCCAGTGTGCTGCTTCATCCAGTGTACTTTTCGTTGTCGTTGTTCTTCATGTTATAAAACCTGGAATTCTACATACAGATTGTGTGAAACTATGAAAACAACTCTGATCTTCCTTTCAGACAAAACATACTTTTTGAATTAGGTTACCTGTAGAGATAAGAAAATAAAATAACCCTAAAACTTCCAAGGTTTTGCACCACAAAAAAAGTCTTTTTGTTTCCCTTTAGATAGATGGCCTCTTTCAAACCTGAACCCCTTTATTTCCAAGAGAAGGCAAGACTGAGAATCCTGGCAGTTTGGCTCAGAAACAAATGAGCCATCCTTTTAAATAGTGGGAGGTATCAAGAGAAGCCAGAGAAATCAGAGTTATGACATAAACTCTGAGATTTAAAGAAAATATTGTCACTTTTATGTATTGAAAACTTAACATTTACCATAAAATTGGGATTCTAATTTCCTGAGAATTTATTGAAGACATTTTTTAAATTCCCACTGAACAGTTAGGTATGTGTTTATACCTTGTTTTAATTAGATTCTTTTAATTTTGTCTGTTACAGTAGTTATTATTTTAATTAAATTTTTCACTACTAGTGCTCATTTTAATGCATTAAATGTTATTATGTTATTCCTAATGAAAGGAAAGCAGTTTAATATCAGCTGAAATTCAGTAGAGCCTTTGTAAAGTTAATTTTTCTCCAAGGATAGATCTTAAAAATGCCTCAACTTCAAAGATTTGGAGTCAAAGTCATATCAGGTTAACTTGAGTGCTCAGTGACCCAACAAGGGAATTACTAGCAGCCTTACTGGGCAAAGGAATATTACGCTGAGTCCAGTAAAACTCTTACTGTGCAATCAAGTCTTCAGCAGTTGAGTCCCTCATTCTCCTCTTTCCAACTTCAGCAGAAAGAATAACCTTTAGATGTAAGTCACCACGGAGCCCAACTTGTGCAACACAGGGCCTGGCACTGCTATGAAATCACACCCTGTGTCTATACTTTTCAGGGAAATATGTCAGTGTGTATAACACCTTCCCTTCACAGCAAACATCGCAATTTGTAATCATACCTGGTGTGATTATTTAATTACTATCTGTTTGTCCAACCTAATATATAACCCAAAGGGTGAGCACAGTGTCAGTCTGCACACCACTGTGCCCTGCAGTGTGCCAGGGACTCACCAAGCATACACTGAGTATTTGTTGATTGACTAGATGACAAATCAAGCTGGGAGCAGTATGGCTAGCTAGCTTCATTGGGTCTGCCTCATCCTTAATCCAAATGGTGGAAATTGAGAGAGATTGCGGTCCTGATTCTCATGTGCACTTTAAACTTTTTTAGTTATATTTTATGGAATATTTTAGTTAGAAAATTATACTTTGATTTTGTAAGCAGTGAGTGTGTTTATACTATTGGGTAAACAATGGATATGAGCAAGCCACTGCATAATTCTAAGGACTGCATTAGCTAAAAAAATAATAACAATAAAGTAGGACACCGAGGCCTGCCTCAGAGTTGCTGAGGGACTTTACAGGACAACAGGTTTCACAACCAAATGATATCCAATATTGGGAGAACTGCAGTTTCACTCTGGGATTGTGCACCCTGGAGAACACCGTCTGATATTTTTTATTCACCTAAATCTTCTCTCTCATTATCCACCTCTTTCCACCCAGAACTATGGAGTGCTAAGGGAAAGCAAGAAATATTCCTTAAGATAAAAAAGTTCACATTTTCCTGTTTCCTGCCTTAATCTCTTAACAGGTGATCTTGACATTTTCCCCCTTTGGATTCTTTTTCCATATCGGTAAGTGAAGATTCCCCTCAATCTTCAATTTTTTAAGTAACATATATTTTTAAAAGATCAGGTTATCAAAGGCATTACATTTTTCTCACTATAGGAGAGGGACAGTCCAGCTAGGCAGTCAGAAAATGCTCATTTCACACTCCTACCCTTAAGGTGAAAGGCAGTTCTAGAGGGAATTGGGGAAAGGGTCACCTCTCTCTGCCTGGCCCACGTTTCCCCTCTCAGGGCTCCTTGGCCAGGCTCTCGGGTATTTCTGGCACTTAGTTCTCATGCTGATCACAGCACATCTGCCTATTTTGCCCTGCACTTTCCCAGTGAGTAATTCCAGATGCCCAAACTACCTTTCCCTTCCCATTCACCCCCACCCATTCTCTCTGCACACAGATCTGGGGTATCCAGAAAGCTAATTTGCAGAGGTGATAAACTGATAGGACCTAAGGGAGCTGGTCACTGAAAGTATTTGCGTTGGAAACCAAATGTGATGCCTTAAGCACAGAGAAGCAAATCTCTAAGGATGACATTTCAGGGAGTGCAGGTAGGAAGGTGTGCTATGTCAGTGAAGGTGGGAGTATACAAAGGCTAACAGTGGTGACTGTGGGATGGGGGCCTGCACTCCTAGGAATGCACAAATGCATATAGGAAGGCCAGTTTACTGGGAAGTACACATAAAACTGGTGAGACAAAAATCAAGCAGAAACAAGCATTTGGGAAACACGACAGAAGCAAGCAAAGGAAAACTGTTCTGGCTGCTGGCATTCCCTACACTTTATTTATGTCAAGGAGTGAAAGGGGACAGTCCCCACCCAATGGACACACTGTTCATACTCCAACTGCCAAGTACTCACCACTCGGCCCCTCAGGTACTGCTCCCTTAAATCCAGGACACTGAAGCCTTACATTCCCCCCCAATTTATGCCTTTTCTTAAGCTTAGATCTTAGTGTAGGTGGTTTGAACTTCAGTAACTAAAGCTACAGAGAAATTTAATTTTCCATTCCTTGAGAGCATATTAACTTATCTTCCCTCTCCCCTTTACCTTTCCTCAGCGAATTTCCCAGTAACCTATGGGGAGAGGTAAGGAGGATTACTTTAAATAGCCTAAGAATTAGTTGAGTTTTCATCTCTCAGTGATCTTTAGCCATGAAGTTAATCATTACTATTAAAGAAGGTCACTGTAACTTGGAGTTGACAATAGACCTGAACTTTCTCTCAAAAGAAACTAAACTCTTCAATGCTAGCCAAGTTTTGCAGCAATCAAAAAAGCATTACCCTTTGTATTTTTCTCCCTATAGAAGAAGTCAGCAGTGGGAAGCAGGTGACAGGAATGGGCAGGCCCAGGTGAGGTCCCAATGAGCTAATTATAGGCCAAGAAATATGGAAAAATCTACACCATTATTTTCCAGAACAGGCCCCTTTTGGTCTTAAAGCCAAATGACGGTGGAGCAGCAGCTTTGTATTTCCCCCTCCATGGCTCCTCTAGCTCACCACTTCTTATTCCTCAACCTTTTATTCAGAAGAAAAACCAGTAAGGAATGATCACATATCATCTTATGCTCAATACTTAGTTTACAAAACATGTATGATGCTGAGTCCGCATTCCTCGTGGCACATCTCTTCCCCTCTCTTCGGTTTGATCTTCCCCCCAAGTCCACCCAGCTTCTCTCCCTCTCCTGCTCCTTATCTTCTCTTCTCCCCACCATAGATATTTATTTTCCAGAACTTATCACCTGGCCACCAGGCCCTTCTTGGTCCCTATGCAGTTCACTCTCGGAGGGCCACATCAAATAGTCAGTTTTTAATAAATAACATTTGAGGAAATCTCTAAAACAAGTCTTTTTGAAGCAAACAGGAAGAATTTTATACAGAAATGTGTTTATGGAGACAGAGAAGTCAAATAGTTCTAGCTTTAGGCATCAGTTTGGGCAGAAGAGAAATCCAGGTTTGTGAGCAAATGGCTAACAGAGTATTAATAATCCCCCTAGAATTGTAATGAGCCCCAGAAAGAACAAAGATAGAAAGGGACCACCCACATAGGCCACACATGCACCAGGTATGTTACATGCACTAATTCAGTTCCATCCCACAAATATCAGAGCTAACAATGTGCCCGAGTGCTATGATGTATACCAGATAAACAGGACTTATTTGTTTCCTGTCCTCAGAGAGCTTGTGGTTTAATATCATGGTGTGATATGGCATAAAAAGAGGTGTGAAGCTCATAGAATAAAAAGTTGCTGGTCCACCATCATCTGGCCTAAGCTACCCAGAAGAAATCAAAGAAGACTTCTGGAGGAAGTGACATCTCAGCTGTGGACTGAAGTCTGTGCAGGACTTATCTAAACAAAATCAGGTTTGGGCAGGAAGGAGAGAATTTAAATCACGATCACAACCCTGTGAGGTGTGTCTGACTGGCTCTGTTCTCCCAGTAGAATAACAGAGCCTCACAGGAGTTACAAAAAAATTTCCTCGAGGTCTTAGCTGAGTCAGTATTTGATGCGGGCTTGGTGCTCAGGACAATTGAAGCTCAAGGCTGAGCTGGTTCTTTGTGCCACACCAGGCTTCTGGCTACATCTCACCTCTTTACCTGTTTCACACCCTTGGAGAAGCATGAATGGAAATGTCTGGCCAGAAAGGAGGGTGGGACAATGTGGGGATGTTATTGCTAAGCAGCAAGGACCCCAACAAGGGTATGCTTTGAATCACCTCAGAGTTCCTAGACACTTTCTCACCTCAGGGCAAGCTCTAGTGTCCAAGTCACACACAGTTACTGAAAAAATGCATGCAAATGACTTTTAAACACAAAAGAGAAGCTTTATTTAGAGCAAACCTGTTACGAGTATATGAGTACCTGCAAAGCAAAGTCTTTTGTAAATGCTGTAACATCTCCTTTCTCTTACAATGAGGTGCAGCTGGATTACTAGGAGTGGGCTTTCCATATCACAGCAAATCTCACATCAGGGGCTGTCAGAGAAAATGGAAGAAAAAAAGACCTTGATAAAACAGTTGGCTTTCTGACCCCATTCATAGGTTGGAAATACCCTGACAAGAAAATTAAGTTACTGATGTAAACGTTCATCACTAAGTATATTTATTTAAAACCTGAATGACAAAAGGCAAACATTGCAGATATTAATGAAGAAAGAAAACAAACATTTGACTTTTTTTTCTTTACTCAGTGATACTAACCTTTTCAGAAGTCTGCTTGCCAGATTGGGAGAAAGCTTCTTGCCGGTCACACGAAGGCCTTTCCAGGCAATGAAAATTTCCTTTTTACGGGAATAGAAATGATGCAGATAATATGTCCAGGACACAGATGTAGGGAAGTCCTCTCTACTGGAAGTACCTTTGCAGTTTAGGTAACAAAATTAACACATTTAAAGCTTCACTTTTCACTCAGAGCCCAGAATGTCAACTTACAACCCAGCTGTACAGACAAGGCAATGAAGACCTCAGAAGGTGCCCATGCTTTTGAAGGGTATTAATGTAATGTGTGTGATATGTGCAAAGCTCATATACCTGCTGACTGGCATGGGTATTTCTAGAAGCCGCAAGAAAGCCTCATTTTGGTGAAGCACTTTTCTTTCTCATCTCCCTTGACTTCTTTGCACGGCAAAGGTTAATAAGCCCTCTGTTGGGGGATTCATTTCTGGCTGTGGCGTTTTGGGTCATTAGCAGGTTGCTGATGCAAACTTGGCTCCAGACAAACCAAACTACCTGATCTCTCTCCTTCCCAACATCCACCCTCACCTAATGCTCCTTACACACACTCCTATTCCCACAGAAATGGGAGTTATTTCAAGCCTCACCAAAGATTGGTTCCAACTCCCTTAAGTGTGAAAAAAGACATTCTTTAGTTCTACCATTCTACCTGCATTTCCCATATCTTTCTGTTCTTGCACATACCTGATCTTCATTCACCCCCCATCAGTTCTCTCCTTCCTTCTTTCTCTTTCTCTCTTTCCCCAGCACCCCCCAGAAAATGCCCCCCATGCCACTACCACCACCACGGTAAACTCTGAAGTCAGTCATGATAAGTTAATGAGCTTAGAATGACGCCTGCTATTTATTGAATCAAGAGGAGTCTCATTCGTATTATCACCTTCTGGGGTCCTCATCTGGCCTAAAGAGCTTCCTGTTTTCTACCTCCACCCTCTCTCCCACAACCCCCAACACATTCACACACTAGAGAGCCCTTGACTACAGAATAAAAAGAGTACTGTGTGCCACTTTAGGTCTTACATTTTAGTTTTAATTTACTTCTCATTCTCAGTGAGACAGAGATGGTGAGTAGCGAAAATTCAAAGCGTGAGCATAAGAAGGGACACTCTCCCATAATGATGACCTGTTTTGCCCCTGCTGCCTGTCCTAGGCTAGGGTAGTGGTCAAGAGCAGGTCACCCAAGTTCATTTGCCATAGCTGTGCCTTCCAACACTGACACCTGGGCCACTTTACTGGATCTCTGTACCTCTATGCCCTCATCTGCACAGTAAGGAAAGAAAGAGTGCCAATCCCCATGGTTGTGTGAAGGATTAAATGACTTCATATGCGTGAAGCACTTACACATGGAAGCCACAATAAACACTGGCTATTTTTACCTGAGGCAAGACAAGCTCTGATCTCAGCCAGCTGTTTTCCAAATTAAAAAAAAAAATCACAATTTAAACAATTCTTTGTTTTTTCTTGACACCACTTTCAAGTTTTCTTTTAGTTTAATGTTGCTTTGGAGGCATGGGAAGCATCGTGCAGGTTTATGCTCTAGAAAAGCTATGCATGGTTGAGAGACGTTTGCAAAGTGAACATAAAAGAAGGAGGATGGATCCTCCTTCTGTGGATGTGAAGAGACTAGAAATCAAGCAGATTCTCCTAGACATTTCTTTGTGAAAAGACAAATTTTTCCAGCCAGATGCTGAGCCCTGGTAACCTATAAATAAATCTCTTTCTTCAAATCACAATGTTGGAAGAGAGCCTTTCATATTGTGTCTTTTCATAGAAATAATTGATGTTGTTACATTTCTAGAATCCCTCATCCTAAGAAGAGAAGGCTTCCTCTTTAACTTGCCCCCACATTTACATTCTGTCCTTGTCTAAATGGTATTAAATGTCCAGATGCAGGAAAATCAGTGTAAATCTAATCTGCAAGTACATGAAAGCACCATGCCTACTAGATAGTGAGCACTCAGATTAAATGTTAAATGGATTGTTGAGTGGATGAATTTTTGAGTAAATGAATGAAATAGTTCAATGGTGCAGCAATGAGCTATTGTAGCTGAAAACATATTTCACTTTGGAATAATAAGAGATGATTTTCCAGACAATGCCTAACCTAAGAGTTATTATTTCCACATAAAGCCAGAAAGTTATGGAAAACCTCTCCCTGCTAAAACCATAGTACAATTTCACAGACATTCACAGGCATTTTATAGCCAACATCTGAGCAAAAGGCACCCACGGCACCAATCTGTATTGCAAAGTGTTGCATTTGCAGTGTCCCCAGTTTCACGTCAAGTGGTAGGACAGCCATAGTTTTATTTAATCAGTAATTCCATTTTCCTGAAATCAAGAAAATTAAGCCCTGAATTTTCCAAGCCAATGAGTACCTAAAAGCAGACTCTAGGACCTGTTCTTCAACATGATTTCTTTCTTCTACCTCCAAGATATGCCGTCAACCTTTGGGATGTGGATCAGATGCAAGGGTCCCAGCCTCCCCATTTTTCATGTCTGAGCCTGACCTTAAAAAGCTCTCTGCTACTGCTATTCTGGCTCCTGGCCAGATCAACAGTTCACCTCAACAAACATTTATTTTATTACCTTATGATGGGCTCAGGCTCCCTCATGTACTCTTCTTCATACGCTCTCTAAAAAGCACTGACTTTGCTGCTTTCCCACCTAATGATAAACATCAGGCCACCTGGTCAACCACGGAGCCCCACCCTTGATTCCACAGGGTCAAAGTCTTCAACAATCAACTTTATCCCCTAAATAGTCTAGCTGAAATATATATATACCTTACTTTAGTCCATTTCATCTCAGACCTAGCCTCATGTTGATTATTACCTTCTTCTGGGGTGAAAATTCCCATCTTCGGCATTGCTGATAACTGGCATGATCCTGCTCTAGACTCTAGGCCCTCGTAACCTGCTTGACTCTTCTCAGCATATTTAGAGGTGCTTCTTTTCTTGCCCCTGTGGGTTTAGAAAGAAACCTTTGCTTCAGTTCAGAATCTCCTTACAAAGATTGTCTGCTCCTTTCTCTGTGTTTTTTTTCCCCATTTCCTTTACAAAAATTCTCCCTTTGCTTTTGTATGCCACTGGGGAAAAAAAGCCACCCAGACTGTCTCTAGCCGGAGAAACACCTAATGACACATTTAATAATGACATAGTGCTGTCACATCCATTGTCATGGGTCACACATAAGAAGATGGGGAAGTGACCTCAAATGCACAGTAGAGCCATCCAAGAAAAATGGAAGGCTCCACAGTATGTGAAGTTTACCAGTTGAATTATAATTAATTTATAATCAATAATGGAATAGTTTGCTAGTCCATGTCCTAGGGAGGCTTCACGCTTGTTTTGGGTGGTCTTATACAAGAATGTAGATACCTCAAGAGACAGAGAAATCTTCTAAAAGAGGCTTTGAAACAGAAACAAGTGCTAACATCTGCCATTAATGTATATAGAAGGAAACTGAAATGGAAGAGATTTTCTTGGAATCTCAAATGTGTGTCTGAATTAATCTGGAAAGAGTAAATTCAGCAACTAAAGGGTTGATGCTCTATTTCTAAGACCCAAGCAATTTAAACTTTGCATTTGCCTCTGTTTTCCATTATTTTCTTCCCAACTTTGAGAATTCTTTGTATACCAATGACATTGTTGGAAGACCAATTACATGAAGATTCTAAAAAGGAAAGACCAGCCATTCATTAATAATGGTGACTCATTAAAAGCCAGATGCTTACTTAAAACATTCCACAAAAATGCTATGGAGACTTCTTCCACATGCTGTTCAAAGTTTAATGCTTAACCACATTACGGTCCAGTACCTTCAGCCCTATCTGCCCTGCAGCATGTACCCAAGCTTCTCATAAATTAATGGGTCATTCATCACACTGGGTTTTCTTGGTCACCCACTACCCTAGAATTCAAGATTTACTGCCAACATTCCCACTCATCCACAAAATTAATATATCACTATTTGGACCTAGTGCACCCTGAAAGCACCCAGCAACCATAATTCCATGTTTAAGCCTTTGAATCCAAGAAATATTAATATAAAAGGATAAATGGCTGTGCAAAAGGGAAGGCTGTATATAGTTCTAGCTCACCTGTTATAACTATTTCCCACTTTCAAAAGTTTAGAGATTGTTGACTCAAAATAAATCAAAGCATTAGAAGACTAGAAAAGAAATGACCTTTTAATGAAGACTTGTTTCATTCCAGTGTCATTTAATTCTCCCAAGAACCCTGCAAGGTAGGATTATTATCCTCATTTTAAAAATAATGAAACTGAAACTCAGGGAAGTTACTTTACTTGTCCCAATTTACATCTACTAAACAGATATATATATAAATATATGTGTGTGTGTGTGTGTGTGTGTGTATATATTATACATTTTAATACCTTATAATGTATATATACATTAAAAGCTGTATATAGAATCAGAATTCAAGTCCAGGAACACCTAACCCAGAACTTTCTGTGAAACACATAAAATCAATTGATAGTGCCTTTATTGGAACCACCAATCAGTAGTTTCCCTTTCACAGGAATAGTCAAGTTAAATATATGTTATTGACAATGTTCACTCTTAACAGAGAAATTTCCAAGATCAGTAATTCCAAACCTGTTAACAACCACAATTACCTGGAGAGCACTTCAGATATATCCTAGGTGTAACTGCAGAGCTACTGAGTCAGAACCTCTGAAGATCTGGGCCCAGGAATCTCCATAAATACAAAGCGCTTAGGGCAATTATCATAATCAACCCATTAGGGAACCACTGACTCTTATGAAAGTAGTGACAAAAAAAAAACTTTGCCACTTGGAGACACAAAGGATTTCATCTCATCCTCAAATATATTTGCTGGGCAGGATGCAGGGTAGATATTCTTACCGTCCTTAGATGCAAGCAGAAACCCAAGTTCAATGAGGGAAAGAAACCTGAACTATATTCTAACTTCTTAGGCAAAAATGGATCACTTTGGGAAACCAAACTGACTTGGGATATACAGCATTAAGAATGTAAATGTCAGTAGATTTCCCTCTATCTTTTTCTTTTCTCTGGGATCACTGGTTGAGTAGTATTAGGGGTGAACTGTATTCTCACAAAACGTTTATGTGGTTTCCTAACCCCAGAATGCGACTTTACCTGGATGTAGGAGTGTTGCAGGTGTAGTTAGTTAAAGTGAAGTCATACTGGAATAAGGTGGGCCTCTAACTGAATACGACTAATGTCTTTCTGAGAAGGGGAAATCAGGACACTTAAGCACATACAAAGAATGTGATATGAAAATGAAGACAGAGATCGAGGTGATCCTATAAATCAAGAAATAACAAAAATTGCCAGTAAATCAACAGAAACAAAGAGAGAGGCTTGGAGCAGATTCTCCTTTACAGCCCTCAAATGAAATCAACACTTCCAACACCTTAATCTCAGACACCCAGCCCCCAGAACTAGAAGACAGTGAATTTCTGTTGTTTAAACCACCCAGTGTGTGGTACTTTGTTACAGGAGCCCCAGCAGACTCACAGATAGGAAATACCTCCCCCACGGGATGATTAGATCACTAGCTACCATTTCCATCAGAGGAAAAAATTTCAATAAGTAAGTTTACTTATCAATAGGTTTCTGAAAGACAGTTGTGACAGTCATAGTGCTTAGAAGATACAAATATCTCTGCAATAATTAGTTCAGGAAAATAGCATGCTCAGCCCTCTTTTTTTTTTTAAGTTTTGGAAAAGAAAATACTAGCAAAAGAAAGAAGTGGAAAAATATCCTTACACATCCTACCCTTAGCCCTTTTCTTCCTACTATATAATAGAAAAACATCAATTTGTATGTCTCTTAAGTTGCAATCAAGGGAGTTGTATCATACAGGTAATCATGAACCAAAGCTTCATTCCACTTACCCCTAATGTCACACCCAGGCTTCTGGGATTGAGGGACTTCACATCCATTCTCATTTCCAACTCTGGGGTGGAGAAGTAGTTACCCTTCAGTTATATGGTAAACATCATATGATGGGTCCCAAAATTCATGTAGATATTTCAGAAAGAATTTTGCCTCAAGGTGCAAATTATTTAATAAAATAAATTGACCTTCACATTTCTTGGTCTTCCAAACAAAAATACTCCAGAGTAAGAGCTTGAAGGGTTTGCCAGGCATTTGCCAAGTTCTTTCTCTCTCAGATAGCTCTGTGTGGCATTCTTGCAACCACACTGTTCTGGCTGACAAGTCCTCTGGACTGATTTCCCTTCAAATAATAAGCATACTTCCTAATGTTTAGTAGAATTTTTGTAAAACCAGCATTTTATGCATATTTTGATAACTCCCATAACATGAGTTGCTTTGGGGGCACATCTTAGAAGTGACTTTAATGGTACAAGTGATTTTTATTGACAAGCTATGTGACCAGCTAAAAACACCTGTAAATTTATAGTGATTATGTCACCATAACTAGTTTTCAGTCAGTTATGTAACATTTCCAAATATATGAATGTCTGGCATTGTATTAACTAAATATACATGTGTATTTTCTCTTCATTTGATATATCACTGTCATGCTCTGTCTCAAAGGAACCCCACATGCATTACTAAACAAAAACACAGTTTACCCAATTCAGTGTTTGGTCTTAAATGGTGGCACCTGGGGAGAATGCACAGGCGACTCAGAGCCTGGCTTCGAAGTCCAAAGCCACTCCCATAACATCACTTCAATCACTTCAACCCAAAGTGCACTGATGGTGTTTCATGCTTTACACTTGACCTGTGTAATAAGCGATCAAGCCCGAATTAGGAGAACACACACAGAGGAAAAAGCCAGGTAAATCATCTGGAACTAGGCCACAGATTTAACATGCAGTCCACTGAACAAAGTAAAACTTTCCCATGGAGGAACCCCAGCTATGTGTATACAAATGCAGTTAAATCAAACAGAATTCCATTTTTTTGGTTCTGGATGATTCACTGCTGCTTATCTACAAAGCCACAGGATGGCAATAGAGAAATTCCTGTTGTGCAACTCTTGGCCAAATGGTTTCATGGAAATTTAAAAAAAGGTGGGGAGGGAAGACAAATGTTTTGGTTCTAGTCCAGTTTGCCTGTGATCTGGGCAGATTCATGCTTTCGGGAAGCCCTTGTTAACGCTGGCTACAAGCAGGTATAGCCAAGGTCCTCTCTTGTCAGCCTCCACTCTTGTCGGCTTCCACTCCCACTCCTTCAATCAACAGCTTGTTAAAAATAATTAATAAAAACAAATACTCATTGGGGATCTACCAGGAACCGGGAACTGTGAACCAGGAACTGTTCTATGTCCTGGAATTATAAGAGGGATAGAAACAGAAAAAGATCACTTCTCTACGGAGTTTACATTCTAATATAGGAACACTGTTACTAGACAGGTCAATGTGCAGTGTGTGTGGCAGAGGTGGCCTTCTGTCCACCAGCATTTCCAGAGTGAAGCTGTCACTGGCAAACAAAGGCCATGGTCCCTAGATTGCCAGCCTCCTTTGCATCCAACTGCATCCACAAGACTAAATCTTGCCAATGTAACATAAGCAGAGGTGATATGTGCCATTTCCAGAACAGGGTTTTAAGAACATGCTGTGCCTCCTTCTTTTATATTCTTCTTCCTTAATTCCTGCTGGATCCAAAAGACTATGAGGCCCTGGAAGGGCCTTCAGGTAGAAGGATCTGAATGTCTGAATCCCAGGGGAAGGAAAGTCACCAACAACTAGATCATTAGCTTTGAGCCGGTAAGGGAGTATGTGATGTATCTGAAATATGTTAAACCACAGAAATGTCAAGACTAATATTTAGAGGCTCTTATCATTAATCTAACTAACATAGTATGCCAGGTAGCCATATCCTATTGAGAAAAATAAAGCACAGATGGAGAATGAGAGATGTAAAAGGTAAAAAATTGCTCATCTAAGAGTGGCCAAGGAAGACCTCACTGATGAAGTGACAGGAGCAGATACTAGAAGGAAGTGAGGGAGCAGTCAGGTGAAGCTCTTGGGAAAGGCTTTGCAAGAAGAAGGGCTGAGAAGCGAGCATGCCTGCTGTGTCCAAAGAACATCCAGGAAGCCAGGAGCCCTGAGTAGAGTGAACAATGGGGTGGCTGGAAAGAGTTGAGTTCAGGGAGGAAAACAGGAGGCCCACTCTTATGGTACTTCACAGGCCATTAGAGGTCGTTGGTGTTATTCTGAATGATATGGAATGTTGCTGGGGATTTTTAGCAGAGGAGTGACAAGATATTATTTACACTGTAGGAAGATCACTCCAGATATTGAGTTGAGATTATACATGCAGGGTAGGAGAGAGCAAAAGTCAAAGCAATTAGGAGCATGCAAGAATCCATGAGGGAGGTACTGGTGACTTATACTGGAGTCATGGCAGTGGAAGTGGTAAGAAATGGTCAGATCTCTGCTATTTACTTACTAGTTAAGAGGAATCATAATGGATTAGAAAGGAGGTGGAGGGAAAAGTGAGGAGCAGACTCAGGGGAATAGAATAGCAGTCCTCAGTTTGAGGACCTTCTTGATGATCCAAATGTAAACACTGAGTGGAGAGTTGAGCCTGGAGTTTGGTGGAGACGTTCAGGCTGAAGAGAAAAAAAAAGAAAGTTATCAGTGTATTATGGTATTAAGTCCATGAGACTATACAAGCTCTTTACTAGATAAGCTCTTTATTTTTTTTATGCATTCATCTAAGAAATGAATGTAAATAGAGAAAAGAAAAGGTCCAGGGACTGAGCCCTGTGACCCTTCATCATGTCAACTTTGAAAAAGAAGATTTGGGTCTTAGGAGGAGACAAAGAAAGTGTTTCAAGGAAGAAGGATTATCAATTATATCAAATGTTGCCGCTCATAGTTACATCAAATAAAGAGGGAGTCTTCATATGGGATTTAGCAACATGCAGATTTTGGTTGGTGACAAATGGAGTGATTTCAGGGAAGTAATTGGAGTGAGAGAGAGGACAGCTGATTAGAGTGGGTTTAAGGAAATGGAAATTAGAGAAACTAGAATTAGCAAATTTAGTAGACCTTTGAGCAAAGTAAGAGGTCAGTCTCCAGGGATATGGAGTGGAGAGTTCATTTTTTTAAGGTGGGAAATTACACTGTGTTTCATGTTAGTGGAGGTGATTCAGTAGAGAAGGGGAAATTAATGAGGTAGTAAAGGAGCAGAAAAATTGCTGGAGCCATGTCCTTGGTGATGGTGGAGGAAATGTGCACAGGTAAGGGAGCAGCCTTTTGATAGGAGCAGGGTTGACAGTTCTTGTGCAGCAGATGGAAAGAAGTCTATGGGCTCAGATGTGAGCTTGTACTCACATGTGATGTAAGAGCATGTGGAAGTCTCTTCTGACTGCTTCTATTTTCTCACTAAAACAAGAGATAAGTCCTCAACTGAGACTAAAGATGGAGGTATTGCTATTTTCAGGAGAGAGTAGAAGGTGAACAACTGTTGTTTAGGAGCATGGGGGATGGGGGTAGTCAACAGACTAGGAAAATGCAACAGGAGACCCTGGCTACTGGAGAGCTCCCTTGAGTTCAGTGGTCCCAAATGAGACCAGAGCCTGTGAACATGAATTTTTCTCCAGCCACAGGTAGCTATTCAAGCCTAGAGTGAAGTAGGCAGAGTTGCAACAAGCCAGGGCTAAGGGTCATTGGATCTTTAAGACAAAGCTATGGAAGGGCAGGGGAACTGAAAGTTTTGACGAGGAAATGATGCTAATGACGCTTCATGGGATTTAGTTAGGGTAACTGAGGACATTCGAGGTTAAGGTGCAGTGAAGAGCTGGGGGATAGGATGGATTCCTGGCCCTGGTGTGACAAAAAATTACTGAATTCCAGGACCTAGAGGCAGCAGTCTGGAAGCATCTGATCTGGGCTGAAGGCAGTGTGGTTTACTGGCCAGGAGAAAACCACATCAGATGCTTCTCATTCCCTTAAGTTCAGGGCATTGCAAACTACCTTTAAATTTGCTCTTGCTGTTATTTCTCATTGGAATAATTCTGAACCTCCTCTTTGGCCTCTACTCATTCCTCAGGGCCCAGATGAGAAGATACCTCCTGGCACAGCTTCCCCTGGGCCTCCAAGGCAAAATTAATCGCCTCATCTACTGTGCTCTCATAATGGGGTTCACTCGCCTTTTATGCAAAGCTCATCACAATGGATCATCATCATGTGTTTACAAGTCTGACTCCCCACAGCTTGTGTTCTTGAAGAGGATGGGATACTATTCTGCTGCTCACCTCCACATTCCCAGTTTATGGCCGAAAGGCTGGCCCAATGGTCTAATAGCCTCCATCTCCCCAGGGGCTGCAGGCCCTAGGGCCCTAACTCTAATCCATTTTCCAGACTCCAGTTAAAGTGACTTCCTGAAATGTGTAAATCAGATCATGTTGCCCCCACCCTCACTTAGAACCCTTAATAGACTTTCCACTTGCTCTTAAGATAATGACCAAATTCTTTCCATGGCGTACATGGCCCTGCAGGATTCAGCGCAAGCTCACCTTGCTAGCTTTGTTGCCCACCATTCTTCCTCTGCCCTTTACACTCCAGTTATCCTGGCCTATCAGTACTTCCAAAGTGCCATGCTTCTCCATGAATTCAGGGCTTCTCACGTCCACTTCTGTCAGTGTGGTGCTCTTCCTACCCTTCAGAGATGAGTTCAAACATCACCTCCTCAGGGATGCCATCCCTGATCGCAAGCTAGGTGAGGATGACTTATAAAAAAGCACCCTGTGCTTTTCTGATAGCACCTAGGAGCATTCATAATTGCATTGTCACATGGGTGCCTATTTAACGTTTACTCCCATTCTGGTCTGGAAGGCCCGTGAAGACAGTGACCACCTGGCTTTGCTCTTCACTACATTCACAGCACCCACAACAGCACCTGATGCATAAAAGTACTTAATAAACATTTCTTCACTGAATGCATGTATTAAATTAATAAATTAATAGAGCTTAAGTTTTCCTTACTATTCTATAAAATATACCCAATTCAACTCTCCAAGTACTTGTATTTCTTGCACCAAAAGAGAACATGTCCAGACACACACATGTACACATACATGCCCAACCAGACTGAATGAGTTTTCACACAGCTCTTTAAATTATACAACAAGTTGTATCAAGTTGTAGTTTGAAACTTACATGTTACACCCAATTGTTCAAACGAAGATGATGGGTATGTGGCTAAACCAAGAGAAATCCCCTCTTGAATATGAGTTACAAGGAAATCTTGCTGCACTGATGGGTTCAGAGAGCCCCTCAGGGCTAGAACCCATGCTCAGTGGAGGTTTCCTAAATAAGAGGCAGCTGTTGTAATGAAGTGTGCATACTTGTGAGTGTGTAGATTCAATCAACAGTCATTTCTCAAGCCTATCCCATAAAGTGGAAAGTGGACTCTAGTTCCTACTTTTCATTTTTAATGGAATTTTTCAGACTATAAACACAAGTGTGGTAAGAAAAAATATACAGTATCTTTAGGGAAAATACTCATTTGTTCACTTTCTCTTTCTTACACACTAGAAACAAAATAATAGGCATATATAAATGTGCAGAAATAGGCAAAATAACAGGTATATACAACTGAAATGTGTATTTCTTTTCTCTTAAAAGTTGGTTCTCAATCAAGAAAACCAATGTGAATATAAGAATTCCCTTAAATTTTCTTTTTATTAAAAACAATGGAACTACTTTGGAGAAATATTTTGGAGAGGTATTTTAACTTTTACAATAGAAAGTTATACTTTGGAGAAATATTTTAATTTTTGTAATGGAAAATTTTAAACAAAAGTAAAGATGGTATAGTGAACTCCATTTACCTGCCACCAAGCTTCAATAATTGTCAACATTTTGCTACTATGCTCTCCTCTGAAAAAATTTAAGGAGGGTGAACTACAAATCAAATTCAGAGTTGTTCAGTAGAGTTGTGCAAAACTGTGTCCTCACCATTTTTCTTCACCTCCACCCCTAGCACCTCTCTGGCCCAACTGGAGGCAGCATGTCACCAGCATGTCATGTGACCTGCTCCAGAAGCTCATCTAGTTAGAACATCTCCAAAATGATCCCACTCTTTAGCATAAGACTCATAGCAAAAGCATCTTGAGTTGCTCTGGCATGAATATATTCAAGATCAATGTTAGAGATTGATGTGCTACTCACAGTCTGACACAGACATGTTCGTGACTCATGATCCCTTTTTTTGCACAGGCTGCTTTACGAATCCATGCAAAATATAGTTCACATGCGCTGTTAAAATTCACAATTGTTCTTCTTTCTTGTGATGCTGGGTTTGAGCTTACATTGGTAATGTTACTTGTTTTTATGTCCAAGGAACAGTCTCATAATTTTTATACTTTGTTTTGTATTTTAGAAATTCCGTTGAATCCTGGCTATTACCTGATTTTTAAATAGCTTCTGGCCACCAATTGAAAAATTTGGCTTGACTAAAGGAAGAAAGATATGAATATTTGAATCACTCAGCATTAAAGTAACTCAGGGAGTAAATAGCCTTTCTGCCTTGTTCGGAGGAAGAAGAGAGGTCATTGGACCTTATCTTGAACTTGTTCTAGTTCAACCTTGATAAAATTAGTTCCCCTCTGACCTTGGAGTCTACAGCCACCAATGACTGGGCTTTGCACCCTGTACCCAGTCTCCTAATGACTAAGCTTGCTGGCAGGCACCCAGTCTGTCAGCCGCTGAAGACTGAGAGTTGTCCCTCAGATCCTACACACTCCCAGCTGCGTACTGCCTCCTTTTGATTAAACGCATCTACAGAGAAGACCCACAGTGATTCCCACTTGGATATACCTTGATTTAGGGCTGTTATATTCACTTTGCTTAAGGTATTCATGTCCTTACCAATTAGAAAGTGCTGGTCTACCTTCTTGAGCTGCTGTTTAAATTTTCTTCTTGTTTAAATACCTACCGTTACCCATACTTGAGCCTTCATCACCTCTTGAAGTCTCCTCAGATATGCAAATAGGGTCCATCCCACCAGCACCTTAGTCTTGAATAATATGAGGCTTAGGGAGTTCTTACTAGTACTCTTCCAACCTCTGCTCATTTATCTATACAGTTAGTGGTAAGATATGCGAAGTACTAGATGTTAGCTGGCCTCCAGCTGACTTTGCATTGATGACACAGCCTCTTGCTCATAGACCTGCCCTTGACACCTACCTCTGGCATCCATTCAGTGACCTTGAGAGTAAATATTTTGCTACTATGCTTCACCCAGAAGGCAACCTTTCAAAGAGCTGACTATTCCTCTTTACATACATTTCTACTCATCAAGTACAATGCTTCAAAGGTGGCAGGTCTTTCCCCCAAGCATCCCCTGGGAATGTCCTAGCACCCCTTCCCTCCCCCTGTGAATCTCTGCTCTCAGAGGTTCCAATGCCTGTTTAGTCCTAGTATTCTCAGGAACACTCCTTGTTTCTCTGAACCTCAGGAAGCCAATGCATTTTCCAGCAGACATGGGAGCATGGAGTGCAATGAATGGAACAGCTGGTGCAGGGCACCTACCATGTTTCAGAGGCACGGGGAGCCTGCCTGCCTGACCAGAGCCCATGTCCTAGGGTGACTGGAGCACCGACGAAAATCAAAGATAGATTCTGAATAGCACCATTCTTTATTCTTTCCTCAAGGTTAGTGCAAGCAACGCACTAACCCCGGTAAACTCTGCATCTGGAATGTGAGCCAAAGACCAGCCACAAAACGCCCTCCTCTCCCAGGCTGTGGAAGCGTGGCAGCAATAGTCCCCAACCTCTCGGTGCCTGGCGAGGGAGGGAGCCGGACAACAAGGCAGGTTGCTGGTTTTCTGCAGCTCCCTGATCCCCGGCTGAAACAATCTGTCACCTTAAGAGCTCTATCTAGCTCCCACCCTGAGAAAGCATCGCTAAATACACACACATTTCTTGGATCATTTTCAGTTACTTAGGGAAGGTACCAATTGTTAAAGAAAACTGAAAAATAGCCAAAATGACTGTGAAGTCTTTTCATTCCCCACTCTTTAGGTAATTTGTTCTGATTGCAACTATTTCAGAAGACAAGATTACACACCAGGGAAGCAAAAAGATTTAAAAAAGGGCAATCTGTTCCCTGCTGAGGCCCTATCAGAGCTCAGCCCATGTTTGGAAGCAAAGGCAAGTTTTTTTCAGCCTTAATGAAATCTTGTTAACTACGAACACCAAGGCTGAACTGGGCTAGTGAGAGGTCTTGCTGGGTCACTGGGGAATCTCAAGGGGGGTGGTTGGTACATCCAGGGATCACTGCCATTCTTGTTTTCCTTCTTAAGCAAGAAGAAATGTTTCAGATAGAAATGTGTATTTGTAAGATATAGACTGAGTTTTCAAACTTTGCTCCTTTTTTCCTATTTTGCCAGTTCACTTTCACAGCCAGCAACTCTCTTGTCCTCCTGGAATAATATTTTAACAGTGATATGTAGGTTAAAGGTATGCTGCCATGTTTACAAGGAATAAATCATTGTTACAATAATGCTAAGAAACAGCAGACAAATGACCTTCAGGACTCACTGGGAAAAGTGATGAACTCTTCTCTGTGTTGAAATGGTCTGGATTCCCTGAATGATAAGCAGGAGGAAGAGACACGGAGCTGAATGCGTCCTCTGGGCTGGGGGAGGGGATGGATTTGGTAATAGTATTTGATGTACCACCATGTGCTTGCCTTGGGGCTCAGCTCCCACAGAACTGAAAATACTCAGAGCAAATGCGGAGCAAAGCCATGCTTTACTCACCCCTGTCCAAGAGTAGGCAAGAAAATAGCTCAACACAATAGCTAGGTGTTCTACGCCACTCATGTATTCAATGATCCAGTAAGTCTTAACAAAGCTTTCAGAATTATGGGTCATAGCTAATAGCTTGCTTAAGACAAAGCAGGACAGAGCTGACCTGTAGCATAAATACATAGTTCTAGAACTACAGCCCCTACAAAGGAGTGATAACTGGAAAAAATATGGTTTTCCCTCAGGACAAGCTTATGCTTGGCTATTAGGTAGGAAAAGTAAGGAATAGAACTGTACAACCTTTAAGATTCTTTCCAGTTCTACAATCCTTTGGGTAGAGAAATAAGATTTCACTTCAGATTGTTGTTCGGGCCCAGGAAGGATGCCAGTACACACAGGTGTGCCATTGTTCATTTGATACTTGCCTCATATCTTTCACAGGGTTAAATAATCTAAATGATATTTGGTTGAATAAAAATTGATATTTTTTCTACAAAGAGTATGTCTGCACAAAAGGCATCTCTAAGGTTTAAATTTAAAAACTATAAACTTACCCAAAAAATAACTGGAGAGGCTTCAGAAATCGCCCAGTCCAGGGTTTCTTTGTTTAACAAATGAAGAATACTTGGGAGACTTAGAGGTCTGCTCCTTCCCAGACTCATTCTAGTGAAGGACAGAGCTAGAAGCAGGTCCCCGGCTAAGGCAGCCTCTTGCCTCTGTGATGTGGGGCGTCCGGGGTGCAAGTCGCATCTGCCTAATGAGGAAACAGCGTCATCTAGTGGCAATTTATCAGAGTTGTCTCCATGAGCCGTGATCTGACTCAAAAGAGGAGCTGAAAACCATCTTATGCTTCTCTCTGCTGCTCCCTATCACCCAAGACAACATTTCTGGACCATTTTCCCTTCCCTAGATTTTCCAAAGCCTAAGAGCTTCCCGCTGGGACACCTGCCAACAATCCCCTTTTTCCTGGCATTTTTCAGTCTCTTCACACCAAACTTTCAACATGGCATCAGGAATCACTCACCTCAAGAGCCATTCTCGTGGGGACTGTTGTCCTTTGAGAGTTGCTTGATTCAAACTCTCAGCAAAATACCATTCTTAACCATGATTTCAGGCCTTTTGCCAATTTATGTGTTTAACCAAAGAAATTTCCTCCTGGATTATGCTTTTTATTTAGCCATGCTGATACAACGCTTGTGTTTTCTCTCTTGCCAACAGATCAAGACACCTTTCATGCCAGTGAAATAATTCTGGGTATCTCCCAGGACAGTTCTGTAAACAAGTGTGTGGAGTCATTTCAGTCACGTACATCTCATCTATTCATTCGCTTTTGAGGTTCTCCATCATTTACCAATCTCTTACTCTGTTCCAGAGGCCGGACATATATCCCCACCCCTAGGACCCTAACTTTGGAGGTGGAAAAAAAATTATATTAACACATAAATGTCCTATATGATAATTGCTCCATTTCAAGTAAATTCAAAGGAAAGGAGAAAAATCATTCTGCTGAAGTGAGGAAAGTTACTCAAAAAGGAAAATATTGGATTTGAGTTTTACAGGTAGGTAGACTTTTGTTTTTTGAAGAAGGAGAGGTGGGAATGGCATGCTAGGCAAGGGGAACAGTATGGACAAGGGTCCATTGTCAGGAAAGTATATGGTATAATAAAGGGTCAGCAAATAGTCTGCTGTCTTCACCAAAAAGGAGACAAATAGGAAGTGATATGGAAAGGCAAGTTTAGAATTAGAATATAAAAATGCTTAGATGCCATCCTGAAGAACTTGGACTTAATATGTAGTGATATACCATTCCATTATGTGTCACAGAAGGATTGTATTTTGAGGTCTCTAGGAAATAAAGTCCATTATTCATTCCGGCCATTTTAAAGTTGCTCTTTCATAAAATGGCACCCTCATTGAATAGCTGGTAAAATGGAGGGCCTGAGCATGAACTGCCTGTCAGTGTTGGGGCTCAGACCTGTGGCTCCCAATCCATGTCTTTGTAATAAAGAGCAAGCCAAGAGCATGAAATATTTATTAGAAGAACAAAATAATTTTAAATAAGAAACTTTCTGGGTTTCTTTCCAATTTTCTTCCTGTATAAATCCTCTGAAAGTACATTTAAATATCCACAGTTGTCCTGTTAATCACATCATACTCATTCAGCATCTGCTTTATGAATGAGAAAATCACTTGACAGGCATTCTATTTAGAAGAGTCAGAAACCTTTCAGACTAAAAGATGTGATAAAGGAAAATAAGGCAAATGTAAACCATCATGGGCTAAAGAATAAAGAAGCAAGAAAGGTCATCTTAAGCAGCAGAAAAGCACAACTGTGTAAAAATTTTTAGAAAAGTCTGTTTCCATTGTCTTAAGGAAGACATCAGTCCTACTGATGTCAGAGGAAAAGAGAGAACCATAGTAGGTGTCATTAAAAGACAGTCTTGGCAACCAATTCTAACTTGGTAATCAAGAGCCCTGTGTTTCTTTTCAAGAATTTTCTGTTTCTGAACTTGGGCCAGTGTTTTCTATTTCTGCTTTGCTTATACAAGTAGAGAATCAACCTACTAAAATCTTGACTCCAAAGACAGCCCCGCCACTCCTGCCATTGTTTCTCTGATTAACTATGTTCATTCAAGTGTCGGGTCCTATTCCATTTTCCACGCCATTGCAATAGATAATACAGGATATGTGTCTGAGCTGACATTTCTTTCCAAATGAATGCCAGACATTTCACATAGAGCTAAAAGCTACATTCAGATGATATAGTGCCTTGGCCAAAGTAGTTACAATAGTGTTTTATGTTGAGGCTGACATTCCACTCATCAAGTGAACACCCAGTGGGATAGGAAACAATGTGGACTGTCATGTTTCTGAAGCTGCCAAGCCACAAAGAGTAACCGGATGTACACAGCTTCTCCGTGGCCAAGCTTAAGAGTCAATGCATAGATTCGGGTGTATCATTTCTAAACTCTCCCCCTAGAAAAGTAGTAGCTGGGTGGACCACAGGGAAGTGGGACTCACCTGCGGCCAGGCTGCCTCCCCAGCTTCCCACCATAATCGAGCCAGCTCCCTTGGCACTCCACCTCTCAGATCTGCCTCAGGGGCCCGAAGCCCAGGTACGTAGGTGTCTGCCAGCAGCCATGTTGGGTCACCTCTGTCTGTTGCAAGCAGAGCCAGATGACCAAGGAAGCCCCAGCTGGAGAATTTCTTCTCCATACTTGGCCTTCTGAGATAGGGTGTCTGCTCTGTGGTTTTCACTACCTAACAAGTAACAAATGAAAACCCTCAGCATTCAAAAAAGAGGGTGGGACTGAGTAGAGGAAGACTGTCTGTCAAGAGCCCTGGCCTAGACAGTTTCCAGACCTCAAGGGCAAGTAGAACAGCTGCTAAGCAGACTAGTCCACATACACAGGGGCCACCTTCTGTGAGATACATGCATGGAGAATGCGTTCAAACTGAAGAACTGCAAAAAACAAAAACCTTCCATGAGCCCAGCACTATGCCAGATGGTGATCCTGGTCCCATTACTGTGGAACTCACATATAACATCGAGCAAAAATAGCTAGTCTGGTGTAGAGTCTGAATCAGCAGGGGCCTCCCTGAGGAGCTGGTATTCAAAGAGAGACCAAGAGAAAGGGGTAGAGGGAACCAGGGTCATTAAGGAACAGAAATAAAGGGGCAAATTCCAGAAATTATTTGACGTCTTTGATTGACCTAGCCAGGGCTGCCATTCTAGATCAGCTGACATTCTGTCTGTCTGCCATTATATGGCCTGCTTAACCATACAAGATACCATCCCAAAACTCCACTCAAGTCTGACTAGCACATTTTTCAAGGGCAACCTGGAAAGGGTATGGTTGTATCTCAGGTATCTGCAAACCATGGCTCACCACCTGATTCCATAAACAAGTCTTGGGAGAATACAGCCATGACCATCCATTTACAGAATCTCTGTGGCTGCTTTTGCTCTACAATATCAGAACTGAGTAGTTACAATTTTGAAAGAAAGTATGGCCCATAAAAACTAAAATATTTACTATCTGGCTCTGTATAACAATGTCTGCCAACCCCTACAATGGCTGATAGAGACTATGTGAACCAAGTTCATGGAATATTCAGGAGTTCCCAGGTATGCCACAGTCCTTCAGACTAGGAGGGGATATGCCAAACATTAGGTGCTTAAGATAGTAAAAGGCAAGCAACCTGACAGGCTGCCTGCCGGCTCTAAGACATGGGGAGCATAATGACCCCCCTCTGTGAGCTGTTATCCACATATTTGTGGAAGGCATCAATATCACACTCTGAAGAGTATAACCTCCACTTAGCAGAAAAAGAGGCCATAGTACCAGCGTGATTTCACAATCGCACTCAGGACAATGGGCCAATTTTTTTTCCCTCTACAACTGGAAATGCCTTCCTATGAGGGACTTGCTTGACCAGAATTCCCAGCATGATAGTTTCAGTTGGGGTGAAAGCTATCTGGTCACAGAAGCATCATTGATGGAAGGAGGTGAGGGTAGGGCTGCCCTCAGGATAGCTGGCTCCTTGGAGGGATCAGAGGAGCATGGGCTGCTGTGTAGAACACTGCAATGAGTCTTTCCCCAGCCCACTGGTTTCCTCAAGCAGGAGGCAAGGGGCCTGCCTGCCAGGAGGTGGAAAGCAGTCTGACTGAGCAGCCCTTGGCTGATGAAGTCACCTGAGTTTAGCACTCCAGGACAATGGGACACAACTTTCCCCAACACTGAGAACTGGCATGTGATCAGCACAGGAACGAGTCTGACAGGGAAACCTTCATGGGCTGAGCAATGGAAAAGGGACCCCTACCTGGCAGAGGCGGGCCATCCAGTGTAGCAAGGGGTCCCTACTCTGGGTTCAGAAGGCACTGGGCAATTAGAGACACTGAGAAAACCCTGTGTGAGAAGAGCAGGAACCATACCCACAGAGGTGGGAAAAGAAGTCAAGAAGAACTTTTACTCTCATGAATTTTTGATATGAGCTTTGGAAAAGCTGGGAAGATCAGGGCTTGCGCCACTCCATCCAAAGTTTTTAGGAGGCCTTCCTGGCCTTTACTTATGGTCCCAGTTTTCATTCTATTTTTATTTCAGACTTCAAGGCATGGCAGGGCATCTATGCACCCCCAGTGGAGCTTCTGGTTGGTATTGTTGGCTATCTCTTGCCAAGTTATAAGATGTGGTATTTGTGGTCCTAAGAAGTAGTTGGCTGCCATGTAACTGGAAGGTGCTGGTAAACCCCTGGCAGCATAGGGTCCGGACCTCATCTCTGACTGGTAGTGACTGCAATCTAGCACAGTAGCGTAGCTACCACACCCCTTGTGTTCCCTTGAGCTTAGCGCACTCAGCTATATGAGGGACCAGCCCAAGGTGAAGGTGGATACCAGGCAAAGAATGCCACCATACATTTTTTTTGCAGCCACAGCCGCAGCCACAACCCCTGGCAGTAAGGTACAATAAATCCACACAACTGACAATTCAGAGATTGAATATCTGAACTCCCCTCCTAGAAAAATGAGAGTCTGGGTTGCCAGACACAGGCCAGGTTGAGCCAGTAGTGATTTGGCATTGGCCCACAAATCATGTAGCTGAGGATGACGGGGGCTAAACTGAGCATCAAATAGGCAGTCTGCATGAAACAGCAATTGTGATGGGCAAGGTAGAAACATGATCCTAAAATATCCAAGGCAAGAAGTTAGAAATCAGAAATGCCAGGCACTAGAGGACAGAGCTGGGAAGGGGCCCCAGGACTACAGGACCTTACCTGTAGCCTTCTCTGTAGGTGAGTAGCCAGGCTGTTGGGGACAGAACAAGACAGAAATCTGGGTGAATCCTGATCTGCTAATCCTACCTGACATCCTAGGTCTTAGTGAGTAGAACACTATGGATTCCAGGTGAGTATGCTGTGCAATGTTGCATAGAGTTCTGGACTGTGCACAGGGCTACCTGAAACTTTCCCATACTTACAAGGGACTGTGCATATCTCACTGAACAAACAATTTCTGAACCCAGTCTTCCTACTCTCTGACATGGAGATTCAGCCTCATAGGGAAGCTTTATGGAAGATGCAATCAAGAGTGTCTAAAGGCTACCTGTAGTGAACTGCTTGCAGAAATGTTTTCTATTTTTAAGCTGTCAGTTTTTATATCTGTAGCCAAGGTTCAGATTCTGTGGATGAAAGATTCCACATACGTTTAGTGTAAAAGGCTTTGCAAAAGGAATCAGAAAACCTGACTCTGGCTGTGCCACTGTTTAAGTCTCCCTATTTCCGATCTGTGCTCCCTTCCAGAACTAATATCCTCCAGTTATTCATAAATCAAACTGTATATTATGTTGAAGCATGCTGGCAAAAGACAGGTCCATGTGGGCTTGTACAATCCCCCTAAAATCAATTATTAATGAACTCTTTGGCTTACAGATGCTGTGTACAAGAATTGGTCTGGTGCCCGCAATGTAATCTCCTATTCCCATGAACAAATCAAGGCTATTGTGATCAATAAAGCCTTGTTAAACATTAGTAAGGGAGTGGGCAAATGGCACTGACTTAATAACCTATTACCCATTGTTTTCCCCTTGAGCTTAAATGTCCCTTTCTCCCTCTGCAAGATCACACCTGCAGTACATGCTTGCATTAAACGTGCTGTAATCCATTTAGGCACTATTTTTTTTATGTTAAAATTCTGGGAGGGTCATTTCACACTGATTTCCTGAACTGGCCTGTTTTGTTACTAGAATACTAATTGGGACTTTAGCCAGCATAAGTAAATTGGAAAACTTGATATTTTAGATGGGACCTAGAAGTGTTAACTGAAGTGTTTATTGGCTCATTGTGAAAGCAATTATACTTGAACAAGAGTACCACACATTTTGGTGTTTGGTTAGTCAGAAAAATCATTGTCCACTAGTGGCACAAAATAGTCTCTAACTCAGCAGTCTGTAATTCAGTCACAAACAACTAAGGATTAACTTGGACCAGCCTTTGCCATAGAATTTCATTCATCAGAACTCCACAGCCTGAATGTGGGGTTACTTGAATTTGGTTAAGATGCAGTATTAACTTAGTACATCCCAGATGATTATAACAGCTAACCAATAGAGAAGGCTTACTTGTGTCAGGCCCTAGCCTAACATCTTTACATATATTGCCTTGTTCAGTCCTTACAACAAACTTTTAGCATGTTCTTCTACTACCTCACTTTATACATGTGGAAATTGAGAAATTAAATGTATTGTCTCATAAGAAGTAAACCCAGCAAGCCTAGTTCCAGAATCCAGGAACTTAGCCGAGTTCCTTCCTAATGTACATTTCCACTTTGTCTTTGTAGAGAACCTCTTATAGGTGGTGGATCTTCAGATATTTAGAGACAAAGAAGACTGATGTTAATGAACAGAATCAGAGGATCTTTGTGTTGACAATTTTCACAGAAACCATCCAGTCCAGTCCCTACCACATGCCCCCAAGGGGAACAGCCACCCACTTCTTGCCCACCCTCAGTGACAGGGACTCTGGCGATGCTGTACCTAGCACTCTGCTCCCACTTCAGAGAGCTCAGACCATTCAAAGTGGCTTCTTTTCCTCAAGATGAAAGATAACGTTTCTATAATTCTACCTGCTGCCAAAATTATGCTCTCAGAAGCCAAAGTAAAGATGTGTAACCCTTCTTTCTCAGTTCCTCTCAAACATTTGGAAGAGCAATTATGCACCATACTAAATTATATTCTTCCTCATTACTCAAGTGATACTATTTCAAAGTCCAAATATCTGGGCACTCTTCACTGGACTTCCTAAATTTTGGTTAAGTCCCATCTGAAATGTAGGGCTTGGAAATAAAGCCAGTTGTCAGAAGGTCTGAAGATGCCACAAGGATTGCCCCCATGGCTGTAGGGTACTTCCCTCAGGGCACCCGAAGACCACCCCATAGGACTGACAGCTGAAGTCCACTGCTCGCTCACCTCTGCCTGCCAGCTCGCCACTAGCATGGAAGGATCTTTTTTTATGTTAAACTGATCACTCAAATATTCCCCCATTGTATATATTTTTAAGTTATTCTTTTAAATATAGTGTAGGATTTAATATTGTCACTAATGAATGAATCTCTCATGAAACCCTCAGAGAGAGACAAAGAGAGAAACAGAGATATAGATATTATTCTGTGTTCATTCCACCCCATAAGTTTTTCCTATGGACAGTAAAGAAATTCAACTGACCTGTCAATTAGCTCACAGATATAATGAGTTATTTTAGAAGAGAAAAGCAAAAAAAGGCCAAGAGCAAAGCTGGACCCTAAAATATGAAAAAGCCAACCAGCCAAAGTTCCAACAGCTTTCAGAGCCTCGGGCTATTTTCCTACACTGCTTCCCTTGTGGAAAAGTGATCAATTCAGTGTGCTATAATTTTAGACATTTACTGAAACAAGACTCAGCCCAAACATCATAGAGGCCAACCTGAAGTTTGTGGAATGCGGGTCATTGTTTTGTCACATGTGACACTGTTTTTCCATGAACAGCAGGGTTGAGTTTGGAGAAAGTGGCTCATTGAGGCTGCCAAGCTTAGCCACAATTCTAAGCAAAAAGCAAGCAGAGCACTAGGCTTGTGGAGAATAAAGCTTCCCTTATATGACATCAGCAGCATTGATGCATTTACCACACAAAAGAAGAAAATGATATTCATATTTTCAGACAATTGTTCTTTATGTTGCATAAACTTTGTTTAAATAATTCATAACTACATAATCAAGATCCCACACACAAGCTACGGTAGATTTTGTCTGCACATACCAAAAGGATTTAAAATGTTTGGAGCCATATATTCAGAGATGTTTCTTTTTCTTTCCAAATCTTTTCATGTTCCTTGTATCACAAAACAGGTTTCAAGTTTAAAAACCAACAAAGAAAAAAATGGAACACAGATTTTTGATAATAATAAACTGCCTAATATTTAGAACAACCCTCCCTCCCCATACTTTTTTGGTTCAGGTTGGAACTGGTGTTAGCAATTTTTATTAGATCTTTTCAAATTCAGTGAGATAATATGAAATCTAAACAGGACATAATGGAAAAGATCCTACTTTCTGTTGACTATTCAAGGTATCGAAGGCATCTAGGCATCTAGGTAGACCTAATATCCCCAAGCAAGAGGGAAACTGAGTCAAATAAATAGCATTTTCCAAAGATATTTAAGAGATTTGCAGAAAATTATAATGTGAAGCTCCCATTTTCTTGACCCCCATTGTTTTTCTTCAAGGACATTTTGAATAAGGATTTAGGAAAGCTTAACATTCCTTTGCTGTAATAAAGAAAGGAACAAGATGACAGCCACTGGTGAGCTGATAATCAGGAAGCAGTTGTGGGCAGGGGAGAGGCAGCCTTTCCCAGGTGTCCCACAGTGATATTGACTAAGTCATCAATCTCCCTGGCAAAGATGGACAATCTCTGCTTTCTGTTTCCCTGGAGCACAGCCCGCATCTGTATCTATGCCATTCTGTTAGCTGCAGGAATAAAAGAAAGAAAAATGAGATTAGTACTTAACACACATAATTCATTATAACCAATTTTAATACAGTGTTCATAAATGTAAGCAGGAAAAAGGAAAACTGTCTTGCTATTATCTAGAGAATTTAATGATAATTACATGAGGAAAAAGACATATGGAAATTCACAGTATTCAACAAAAGGGATACACACAGAAGAGTTCTTCCAAGAATAGTCTGTCCATAGGCAGTAAAAAAGAAAATACACACACACACACACACACACACACACACACATCAGGAAAACAGCAATGTGTGTATATTTCTACTTTCTAGTTAAGGTTACCCAAGGTTTCTATCCTTTCCAATTCTACATATCTTTTCCTCACCACCTATACCTACTAATTCCACAAGGGTGTGATTTTCATTTTAGACACATTTTGAGTGTCTGAACACTACCCTAAAATTGCAAATCCAAAGCAGATTGCAGATTCAGTTAGCAAAGGTCTTATTTTTAAAAATTGAATTTGTGAACTCTGAAGTGGTCAAAATATGTATGCAAGTCATCTCCTTATATTAAACAAGCTTATCTCCTCGAGATTAATGACCTATGAGAAGTTTTGTTTGCTGTCCAGATGATTGAGGAACCCAGGAAGGAATGCTGTTGGGGGAGATCTTGGCAGGGGGGTTTGAGTACAAAAGTACAAAACACAAAAAACACGCAAGAGGAGTAGGAAAATATTTAGAAAACTCAAAAACAACAGCTTGTGTTAATTCTCAGCTGGTTTGTAGTTAGCTTTCACTTTTCACCTCATTGAGACTGATGGCAAAAAAGCAACACAGCAGACCCTGTGGCCTGCTCTGGTTACAGATGTTTTATTGTAATTCCATTGTTAAGAGAAACATGGGCCATTGAGGGTGAGATGTATGTTGATTAGGAAATTGAAATATGTAGCAATTAAAACAATCTGATCTGCACTTAAGAACAGACAAGTGCAACAGACTAGATTTATGAATTTGGATCTTCTGACATGATCTACATTTTCCAAGGTTAAAAAAAAATAAACACAGAGAAACACCCTATAACATACAACTGCAGCCAAATACTTACATTTAAGAAAACACTGCATGTGTTACTGATATTTGAACTAGTGATTTCAGAGATAATGAGGCTCTAGAGCTCTTTCTGAAATTCCGGGTGTAGGTCAGTGTTAGAACAAATCAGGGTAGTGCTGTTGTGGTTCACCCAGCAGAGAGGTGGCCGGGTCTCTGTCTGCAGGATTGACACAACCGTTGGGGGAAAGGTGAAGAGGGAACAGATGTGGCGATGTTAAAGTAGGACCAGCAGGACTTGGTCACCTACGGTTGGTGGGTAAAAAGGAAGATAGGGTTGAAGTGATGAAAGTGGGGAAATCATCAACCAAGAAAGGAGATAGGAAGTAGAACCAACTGGAGGGGAAATAGGAGTTTCATTTTAAATGGTGAGTTTCTCAGGCTGTGGAATGTCCGAATGGAGATGCCCAGTAGGTTATTGGTAGAAGAGGCTGCTGTGGGCTGGACTTACAGAAATAGAAAGCAATAGCATAGCATTTATTGTCACTTGAAGCTGTAGAAATAGATCTGTTCAGCTGGGAAAACAAGTAAAGTTGAAAGGTAGGAGAATTGAAATAAAAGAGGAGGAACTTCTAAGGGATAGGGAAAGGGAATTTACCATGGACGGTCCCCAACTTATGTTGGTTCAATTTAGGATTTTTTGACTTTACAGTGGTGCAAAAGCAATAAGCATTCAGTAGAAATACTGAATTGTGAATTTTTGTATTTTGTTCTTTTCCCAGCCAGTAACATATAGTACAATATCTCATGTGAAAGCTCCATCAGCCATGCAATCACAATGGTAAACAACCAATATACTTACAACCATTTTGTACCCATGAAGCTATTCTGTTTTTCACTTCCAGTACAGTATTCAATAAATTACATGAGACACTGAACACTTTGTTATAAAATGGGCTTTTTGTTAGATGGCTTTGCCCAACTATAGACTACTGTAAGTGTGCTGAGCATGTTCAAGGTAGGCTGCGCTAAGCTTACCTTGTGGTGTTTGGTAGATTCAATGTATTAAACGCATTCTTGCCACAATTTTTTAACTTGCAGTGGGTTTATTGTGACATAACCCCATCATAAGTCGAGGAAGGTCTGTGTGTGTTTACGTGACTAAGTCATTGGCATAAATATCTTAATAATAAACCCTCTAAAGAAGAGACATTGAGTTAATTGCAAAGACGGCTGGAAGGTATCCATCCTGCAGTTCTACATCCAGTTCCACTGAGAAAAGGCCTTACAAGGACTATTGTGTTTGGAATCATTTACAAAATAGTTTAAAGATTGTCCTGGTATCAGAGAATATATCTGAATAGGCTAACTTTGAGACTTCATTTTAGGAGAGTGAAAGTCACCACGTTTCTGTGTAAACATCTCCAGATAATTCTGTAAATAAACGAATGCCTTAGACCATAGTATTAAGCATACTTCACTTAGTTGGAGATCACAGAAAGTGGTGGAGTGCTGAAATGGTTCAAGTAAGTGAAGTATATTCTAAATTACTTTAAATAGGTGATAACCATAAATATTCAAGTTGGGAAGGCAGGGGCAATGAAGAGGAGAAGATTGGTGTCATCGATAGGGAGACAGTAAGATAGAGGGAAATGTACAAAATAATCCAGCAATTTTTTTCATACTCCCTCAAGTAGAAACTAATTGAATTTTTATGAACATATTCTGNCTGAAATGGTTCAAGTAAGTGAAGTATATTCTAAATTACTTTAAATAGGTGATAACCATAAATATTCAAGTTGGGAAGGCAGGGGCAATGAAGAGGAGAAGATTGGTGTCATCGATAGGGAGACAGTAAGATAGAGGGAAATGTACAAAATAATCCAGCAATTTTTTTCATACTCCCTCAAGTAGAAACTAATTGAATTTTTATGAACATATTCTGATATATTAAAGAAGTTCTAGAACTACAAGCATACATGATGTGTAATAAATAAGTATAATATTTATTGTACATTTGTATGTTAAAGTTCTCTGTAGATTTTAATTCTGCCTTACAACTCACCCACTTCCCCTGTCCTACACCCCCCAAAAATCACTTTCCTCTCAGATTCCTCAATTTTATCATCTATTCCCTTGATACATTTAGACTATATGAAGTTACCTTGCTTACTTTTTGTTTATATGTTTGTTTCTACCCTACCCCTAAAAAAGGAAAGCTCTGTAAAAAGGAGAGAATTTGTCAGTATTGCCCAATATTATCATCCTTTCTCGCCACAAACTACCTGACACATAGTAAGTACTCAGTAGTGTTTAATGAAATGAATAAATCAAGTGATTTTTTTTAACCCTGTTGTTATCAAAGAGAACTTCCCTATCTGAAAGACTACCCCTCAGTGCTCCCTGTACCTTCATTTTCCTCTTGACATTCATTACCTGATATATTCTGTATTTCTGTATTGGCTTCTGTCCATCTCCCCTCATCAGCAAAAGCTCACTGGCAGTAGGCTGTGAGGGTCACTGCTCTGTGTAACCCCCGCCGTGCCTGTCACGGAGCACGTTCTCAAAAGAAGTGCACAAATAAGTGGATTTAAATCAATATCTGGATGAGACATACCAAGTTCTTGTCATGCATGCAGCACATTATTTTTCTCCTGCCTTCCTTGTGATTGAAATAGTGACATTATCACCCGCATTCTATGAATTGTAGTACACACACATCACTTAGGCATTTTGATACACCTGAGGAATAGTGTCAGTGACATTTGTGTCTGGTGTCCTTTTCCCTTGTCCTGTGTTCCCCCCCCTGCCCTCTCCCAACGCTCTTCGCCTGCTCACCGTTCAGGCACCCGCGGCCTCGTGCTGCCTCCTGGCTTCCAGAGCTTCCCATCCAGGCAGGAGCCCCTACTCTGGACTTTTGCCTTCTTCTGTCATATTTTACCTCTCCATTTCTCAAGGAGAGAACAACTCTGACAGGCAATTCTGTATTCCCTACCTCAAAACCATCACATAATTTAATCCTCATGCCAACTCCATGGACTAGCCTATTAAAATCAGCCCTCATTATAAATAAGTAAACAAGCCCCAGTAATGTGAATCATTTATAGAGACAATACAATTTTTTAAAGGCCCAGTTTTAAGCCCAGGTATCTCTGACTTTCCACAATCCCCGTTGCCAGTGTCCAAGACAACCTTAGGTGACTGTAGCTAGGATTGGCTGAATGTCCTCTTTCTCTTTGGGGGATGGGGAGGGAAATGTGTATTTCAACCTGGCATTGCCAGAGACCTTAAACCTTGACACAAAGGAGGGTGTCTCTAATGGTGGGCTTTGTAGGCACTGCAGCAGATATGTGAGACATAATCTTGAGCAGTGACACCTTTAGGCATCTCTCTTTTAATCTCACTGTGTAAGAAACCACTTTACAAGCATCTTGCCAGGCCTAGTGGAAAATAGAGCAGAAAGCACGTAATGAATGATGTTGCTCTACCTCTGCAGCTGAGCCAAATAATGCTCCAGGCACACGACAGTCTATATAGAAAAAACTGGCCAATATAAGCTTGAGCATTTCCCAAATTATGAACATTTCCATTGCTTTTTATATCTCTTAAGTATTTTTCTATTTGCTATAAAATACTAAATTTCAGAGTGAGGAAGAGGCCTCAGTGAGATCTAGCCAAACATTGTAAGGCTATCAGCTCTGCTTTCCTTATTCATGAAGAGTCTTGTTTTATTGAAACATTTTTTTTTCAGTGAGGCTTAATTAAAGAAGATTTGTTGAACAACCCAAATATTAGTAGGTGCTAGACCTAGTTTGTTTCCTCTCAGATTACGACAATTATTACTCGTTAAGAAGTGTCATTCTTAACCAGCTCTTTAAAGTCATATAGACACAAACTCGTTCAAAAAAAAAAAAAACGTAACTCCTGGGAGAGTGTTATGCAAGCACTACATGCTCAGAAGCTCT